TCTTAACAGCTGGCGTCAAAGCAGTTTTAGCGGACAACTGTCACTGTTTGCAAGATTCTCTTGATAAACATGCAATAAAAGGTGAACCCCCTGAAGGTCCAAGTGACAGTGGCACAAAACTTTGGATAAGAGGAAAGTCACTCCACATGAGATTCAGGAGAATGAGTGGTTATTCACACAAAAAGGAGAGTAAGAGAGAAATAACAAACAAGAAGGGAAGATGAGCTAGAAAAGTGGCAAGAGGCTTGAATGAATTGAGACTCAGTGAAGTATATTGGGGATGAATACAATATATGTGCTTTAAAAGATGATGCTTGTTGTGAAAACTAAATCTCTCTGTGTTTCAGTAATGTAACCCCCACCCTCCTATATCACACTCCTGCCCAAAACTGTTTGTATGGGTAGATTTTTCCAGCTGGAATTTCCTAGAAGATAGACAAACAAATTCTAAAGCAGAACAAAAAGCCACAGAGAGCTAAATAACTTCTGAAAGAAGAACATGGAGGAGAGGCATGCCCTATCAGGTACTGGAAACAGTGCAGCCTGTCATAATCGTTTCAGTCAGGATAGGTTAGATTTTGCTGCAGAAACAAAAGCCTCCAAGCATCACCATTTAAAACAACCATGGTCTATTCCTCACTCAGGTTATAGGTCCATAGAGGGTTCCCTGAGGCTCTCTCTGCCCTGGTCTCTTTACTCTGGGCTGACAACACCTACCTGACTGGAGCATTGTGGGTAGTCACGGGGAAAGGGAACACAATGAATCACACAATGGCCCTGCAAGCTTCCTTCCAGAAGTGACATATATCACTTACGATCACATTTCATCATCCGAATCGTGTCATAGAGCTACACTCAACTCCAAGTGCACAGGGAAATGCAATCCTAGCATTTCCTGGAAAAGAATAGAACTAGACTGTGACAGTCCTGATGACTACCAAAAGCATTTTTTAAATAAAAACTGTAGTACTGGCATAGGGATTCGTAAATAAACCAAATAGGACAGAAGGGGAACTCTAGAAAAACAAAGAACTATACAGAGGTTGTGTGTCTGCATGTGTATCAGACTGAGCATATGATATAGGGGACATCATTTAAGTACAAGAGAAAAAGGTTTCCTGATGGGGTAGTTTTGGAAGACTGGCTGACCACACAAATAAAAAACTTTAAATCTCGCACGCAGACCTCTCCTGCCGCGCCCGCTGCTCCCCTCAGCAGTGTACTTCATCGGTCTGCCTGTTCTGCCACCCGCTCTGGTGCTGGTGAATTCTCTCACCCTCTTGCACTTCTGACTGTACCCAGTGCTTGTGTAAATAAATAAATAAATCTTAAAAAAAAACTTTAAATCTCTCCTTTCAGTGGTGAACTTCACATGGTATATTAATATGTTGATTCTCAGTGATGCATAACTGAAACTTCTAGGATGTTATAATACAACGTTACTTCAATTAAAAAGATTAAGAATAATAACTAAAACTTCTAGAATGTTATAATACAATGTTATTTCAATTAAAAAATTTAAGAATAATAAAGTTCTCCTTCCACTCTATGAAAACTTGAACTCCAGAAGATGAGGAGCCTAAATATGATCTGTGAAATTATAAAGCTAATGGAGAAAATGTAAAAAAGAATATCTTTATGACCTTGGCATGGGAAGATTTCTCTAATAAGACCCCAAAAGTTTCAAACCATATTGAAAAAAGAAATGATGCATTTGACTAGCAGGAAATGGAGCCTTTCTGTTAATGGAAGGACACCAGAGACAGAGTTAACAAGCCGGTGACCAGCCGAAGATGTCGCAGCATCTAGAGAAAAGAGGATGTGTGCATTCCTGGTGTAGCATATATATTTGAGCGCCTTCAAATCAACAAGAAAAATACCAGGAGGAACTGAGAAAGGGCAAATTCATGGGAGGAAAATCTGCAAAATCCTCCCCTATAGCAGATTCATGAAGAGATGAGCAAATGCTAATCAGAGAAACGCAAAGCCAGGCAAACAGCCCCTTACACCCATCAGCCTGACAGCAGTTAGAAAGCCAGATAACACCAAGTGATGGGAAAACTCAGGGAAACAGGACCCACAGACACTGCAGAGGAAGCAACAGCTGGCAGAGCTGATGTCGGGAACCCCCTGGCTGCAGTGCACAGCAACTTCCAGAACCACAAGAGGACATGGCTCACGTATCACAGCAAGGAATTCGAGGCAGCCTGGGAGCCTCCCACCAGGGCTTGAAAGCAACAGGTACTGGGTGCAGAGTGTGAAATCACCCACAGGGCCTGGAGGAGTGAAACAGATGCCTGTACAGCAGCATGAACGAGTACGGGAAACAGAGACAAGGAGAAAAAGTAAGAACCAGACCTCCAGATGTGTATTTTTATCATGCCTTTCTATGTGATGTACTAGATGTGGCCAGTATCACATATACAATACATGTATGTCATACATATACAGATTCATATATTTATGTACTTACATATGTAGGATATACACTAAAAGTTAAAGATAGGGAGATATGAATGCAGGCGAAATGGGAAAAAATGGTGAAATAAGGTACAATCAAGACCTTTCGCAGACAGGGCCTCCCTGGTGGTGCAGTGGGTTGAGCACAGCACTGTGAAGCTGTCCACATCCTCCATGGTGCTGGTTCGATTGCTGGCCAGGGAGATTCCCACATGGCATGGCAGACCTCTCCTGTCTCGCCCACTGCTCCCCTTAGCAGTATATTTCAGTCCTTCTGCCTGTTCTGCTCCCTGCTCTGTCTCTGGTGGATTCTCACACCCTCCCGTGCCTCTGGCCTATACCCCAGTGCTTATATAAATAAATAAAATCTTAAAAATAAAAAAAAGATCTTTCACAGATGAATGGCAGTGATTAAGGACGGCTGGGTGTGATTAACTCAAGTCTATGGATCGGCCGTCCTGTGAACAGAGGGAAAAAGAAAGCAACCACTCAAAATTGCTGGTCTGCCTCAGAGTGGCAGGCCCCCTCCTATTATATGGGATAAAGTAGTCTCTTCTCACACTTGAACCTGCAGAATCCAGAGATTCAGCTCCAGATGTTGGGACACAGGGCTTGTGCTGTGTGTTTCCAGCCTGCTCCCAGCAGCAACAGCTCGAATAGCAGAGAGCCAGACCCCATCCGGACACCACACCCAACTGCAGGGGTCTGGGAAGGGAGGAAAGAGGCTTCACAGACAGTCACACTCTGGTAGCACCACACCAGCCCGCTCCCCACATCCACAGCTGGCTTCCCTAAAAGAGTACAAGCTCCATGAGGGCAGGGGTCACGCTGACTTACTCTCCTACTTACGTGTGACATGGCACAGCAGGTGCTAGTACAATGGCCTGGCACATGGCAGAGACTCAACAGACATTTGTTATTCCCAGGTTGGATGTGAAAAGTCCAACAAGAAAGTGATGGATAAGAATTAGGGCGTCAGCATAGGATTCTCAGGGGCAGTTGGGGGTGGGAGTCAATTAGACTTAAGGAGGGCTAGACTGGGGCCTCCCTGGTGGCACAGTAGGTTGAGCACAGCACTGTGAAGCTGTCTGCAGCCTCCACAGCACAGGTTCGATTCCCGGCCGGCCTGGGAGAATTCCACATGGCGAGGCAGACCTCTCCTGTCTCACCCACTGCTTTGGTCTGTCTGCCTGTTCTGCTCCCCACTCTGTCTCTGGTGAATCCTCTCATGCTCCCATAACTCTGGCCTGTACCCCAGCTCTTGTATAAATAGAAATAAATCTTAAAAAAAAAAAAAAGGAGGGCTAGACTAGGCAGACTGGAAGGGGAAGGAACCCTCTCCCGCCTCCCCCCCCCGCCCATGACAACTGCCTCATTAACTGAGTGGCTTTCACCTACCACCCTCCCCTGGCCTCTCCATCCCATCACACACCTTCCCCTCCAGCTGAATCCAAAGACACAGCAAGGGCAAGTGCAACGAGGACCACAGGAACTTGGCCAGAATTGCAGAAGGGAGTGGGGGGTAGGGGGTTAAGGGGGAGAAAATCCAGCCTGGAATTCATGCTCTGCCCCACATATCCAGAGTGGAGAACACGTGTGGATGGACAGCAAGGGGCTGCAGGCGAGGCCACTTCCAGCCTCAGGCCCAAAGGGTCAGGGCAGAGCCATATCTGAGGACAGGAGAGCAGCAGTTGTCATTTGTCTCAATAGCTCCTCCTGCCCCTCTATGCCCACTTTTTCTGTCCTTTCTGCCCCAGCTTTTGGCACTTTCTGACTGTTCTAGGACGGAGTCAGCACACCCGCTTTGCTCTCAGCCCCCACACCTGTAGCATGACACACACAACCCACCAAGACAAAGCTGAGATTCGAGGTTATTTACACCTCTGTATGATTAATGTTGTTCTACTTCCCTTAAGGGTACTGGGGGCAAATAAGCGCTTCCTGTGGTGCTATTTCATCCTGCAGCAGAACCTCTGCAGGGGAGATTTCCCTACAGGACCTTGTCAGCTGGCCTTGGGGGTGGGTGGCTATCCCCCATCTACCCAATTCACTGTGACGCTCCCACCCGAAAGAACCCAAACTCCCCAGACACCATGGGCTGGGCACAGAGGATGTGTCACATCTAGAACAGTGTTCAACATTTCCAATTTTCATCTGGGATTCAGGTGATAGGAAAAAGACATCCTTTATTATGCCCGAAGCCCTGGGGAAGGAGGGTCCAGACCTGGAGGGTGCAGGGTGTGTTGTCCATCACAGTCCATCCCTGGGGCTGCGGGCTCCCACAGCCCCCAGACTGAGACACTGCTGTGCACCCCCACACGAGGATCCCCCATTCCCAACCCCAGACTGACCTCTCCTGGCCAGACCCTGCAAAACAGTTTGGAAAGAGAAGGGGCGAGGAGTCATCCTCTGTGTGCTCAGTGTTTTCCCCCTGCCTTCCCCCCCAAAGAAAGGGAAGGAGGGAAGGAGAGGAAATCAGAAAGCTCAGTTGATCCTCCCACCCTCCAGCCTCTCCCCCAGACTCCAGCTGTCCGCTGAAAATCACAAAGCCTTTTCGCTCAGAACCCAGAGAAAAAAAGAGAGGAAAGCAATGGGTAGGGAAGCAGCAGCAGCAAATTTCAAAAGGAGGGCTAATTTGTGCAGCGCTGGACAGCTGCATTTGCATAATGAAATGTGCAGAGGATGTTTGGCTCATGTATTTTTTAGAAGGTTTAACTTTAATTTTATTTAGCCTAAGAAGGGCATGTCACTCAAACTCCGCTGGTCATTTATAAAAATATTTCAATTGTGTTTCCAAGGAGCTGTCTTTCTGGCCTAAGTGGCGGGTGCCGGAGGTTGTGAATGCTAATGCAGAGGTCGGGAGATCGATTGGGGAGGGACAGAGACACCAAGAAAGAGGCACTGAAGAGGCAGAGAAGAAAGGACAAGCAGGAATACAAAGCAAGAAAGACAGGAGTGTGGATGGGACAAGGCGCCCTGACTCCAGAGGAGCAGATCAGGTAACGGGCCTCAGCGGGAGGGGGTGGGCCTTCCCAGGGGAGGTGGGGCTGCTGCGCAGGTGCGGCTGCTCTCCCAGCCCATGGCGTTTGGATTTAGTTTCCAGGATTGCAACTCTAAACTCCCAACAAACACCACTGCCAACAAGGGCATGCTGTGACCAAGCTGTCTTCCTTGCACCCCTGGGTCCTGCGCTGCAAGCATTTTCTGCATTTCTGAGCTGCTAGGAAGGCGGCTGATGGTGGGCTGTTTGCCTTGGAGAGGGCCAGGGAGGGCTGAGCTGAGCTGGGGGGGCCCTGTATAATTCTTTTCTCCTGCAGTTACAGCAACACCACCCACGCCCCTGCTGCCCCCTGTCTACCATACCTGCCCCAGCCTCCTAAATAAAACACTCTTAGACTTTCAAGCCACATGTGACCCCCTGGGCATAAGCAGAGATGGAGACACAATGTCTCCCCACCCCTCAGCTTCAGAGGGCCTCAGAGACACCCTAGAATCTCAGACCCGAGGTTAACCAATGTAGAAACAGAGAGGTCAAGGGGGGAAGAAACTGCAACCCAGAGGTATTCAGGGTCCCCCAGGTCAGAGTTCTCCTGCCAATGCCCCCTGCTTTCTACTTCCCCAGGCTAACCCACCCCTGGCAGCCCGGGCTCTGCTGGCTCCTCTCTAGATCTCACAGATCATAAAAGCCATCTCCAAAAACATGCTCGGGAAAATTCCACCCCAGCAGAACAATTTAACTCTCCTTGAATGGTTTTCCTGTTGGGTGCTGCACGAGAAGTGTCCAGCTCTCCCCTGGGTCTGTGGACATAGCCTGGAGCCCTGAGCTTCCACGTTGGGGCATTTCCCAAAGCCCCAGTCTTGGAGGCAACAACACCTAATGCTGGCTGTTAGGCAGAGGGGCACTGTAGCCCCCTCCTCACAGTAGTACCCCGGTCCCCAGAAGAATTAAAATTACAGGGCCTCCCTGGTGGAGCAAGGGGTTAAGCACCGCTCTATGAAGCAACCTGTAGCCTCCGCAGCACGAGTTCTATCCCCGGCTGGCCAGGGAGATACCCACATGGTGAAGCAGACCTCTCCTATCTTGCCTGTTGCTTCCCTCAGCAGTGTATTTCAGTCAGTCTGCCTGTTCTGTTCCCCACTCTGTCTCTGGTGAATCCTCTCACCCACTGCATCTCTGGCCTGTACCCCAGCTCTTGCATGCATAAATAAATATTAAAAAAAAGAATTAAAATTACACAACCCAGGGGATGGGTCACATGGGGATAGGGACATGCAGCCTGAGGCAGCAAGGGGTCTGAGCCATGCCCTGGAGTTGGGTCATCTGGCTTCACATTTGCTTCAGCCAAACCCTTAACCCTAACCTCTGACCCTCCATTTCCTTATCTGTGACAAGAAGGGAAAGTTCACGTAGCTGGTAAGAGGTTTTGACATTATGCATTATATTTTTTTTATTTTTATTTATTTTTATTTATTTATGCACACAAGAGCTGGGGTATAGGCCAGAGGTGTAGGAGGGTGAGAGAATTCACCAGAGACAGAGTGGGGAGCAGAACAGGCAGACTGACTGAAATACACTGCTGAGGGGAGCAGCGGGTGAGACAAACGAGGTATGCTGTGCCATGTGGGTCAGCTCCCTGGCCGGGATGCTGATAGCTTCATAGTGCTAAGACTTGACCCCTTGTGCCACCAGGGAGACCTGACATCATGCATTATAATATGCATGGTCCAGGGTATCTGGGGTTTCGGGGCTGTCTGCCAGGCACTCTAACAGAGAGACCCCACAGGTGGAGCCATGAGTCCTCGTTGCCTTAGGAAACAATAACAGAGAGGGCAGAGCAGAGCCAACTCCTGTTCTTGGAGAATACTGACCTCCTGTAAATTTGTTGGCCCTTCACAAAAGAGCTTTGATAAAGACTAGAGAATCAGAGACTGTTAGAAGCAGCAGGAGAAGAAACAGTCTAATGAAATACTCTAATACTCACATCTCAAAAAATAAGAATCTTAGCCCAGAGAGGAGACAGCAACAGCCCCGGGTCATAGAGCTGGTCAGGCACAGACAAGACCAGAGCACCCCCCTTCAGGCCCCCTTACTTTCCTTTCCTATAAGATTTCCAGTGGGTGAGACTCCCTCCCACCCCACACCCCCAACACACATACACACACACACACACACACACACACACTTACACTCACACACACACAGGCCAGGAAAGGGCCGATGGAGTGGGCTTCCAACACACGAGTACCCCCTGTGCAGACAGAGGGGACAGCCTAGACCAGATGGGGGCTGGCCACCACAGCCCCTCCAGGGATGCCTGCATATGGCCAGCCAGGCCTGGCAGCCCATGCACACTAATCCTGCTGTCAGCCAGGCTGGGCGCCGGATTAGGAAATGTCACGTTTCAAAGGAAATTATTTCCATTTTCTCCCCAGGAAAGGAAAAGGCAGAAAGACAAGCAAACCCCCAGGGTGGTGTGTTGGGAGATAGGCCAGCATACGGGCCTCAGGCAGGCACTGCCCCGCCTCCCACCCCTCGGAGGACACCCAAAAGTGACAGCCATCGCCTCGCTGAGTTCATCCCGCCAAGAACAAATGGATTTCACAGTTCATCAAGGGAGGAGGGGGTGTGTCATGGGCTCAGCCACCATGACCTACCTTTGGTCCTGCCAGCACCCCATCTCCCTCCTGTCCCTGCCTCCTGAGAGCAGCAAGTCTGAGCAAGAAGTCACCCTTGCCTTCCCTTTGGGCAGCAGAAACGCTGCCCCTGCTTGGCCCTGAGACCTCTACCCTGGGGCTCCCCCTCTGTAGACAGGACAGAAACCTCAAGACACAGAGAAGGAAAGAGCCGGTCCCCCTCGCTGGTCGCCTCTCTCTGCTCTTACTTTTCTGCTTCTCTTCCTTCCCCTTCCTCATCTGAGTCAATAATAAACATCTCTCATTCTTACCACCACTGAAAATTATGGGGCTTCTTAATTACAAAAGTAAAGTCACAATATTAGCAATTAATTAATTTTAATCTGGCCCAGAAGAGGTCGGGCAAACAATCGCCCCTGTACGCCTCTGGCGCTGAGGACCACCCTGACGGATATTGTGATTGAAATATATTTGTATGGAGTTATTAGATACTATCTGCAATCAATCCATTACCATAAACTTAAGCTTCCACATTCTTTCATATTAAATGAATTTTCATATCACATTTCCCAATAAGCACTGCCTCCAGTCAACCCTTATTTATCTAATAACGCCATGCAAATATTTTATTATATTTCAATGAAATGTGTCGAAAACTATTACCTTGTGCTGCCTTTGGGGTGGGGAGGGAAGGGTGCTCAGTGGGAGGTGGGGGCTCCCCTCTCTGTCTGCTCAGTGCAGAAGCTGCCGCCTCCGGAGACATCCGCGTTCCCCTGCCCCCACTGTAGGCCCTGGCACCTCCACCTCCAGGGATCAATGCAAAAAGTGCTTCTTAGCCCCCAAAATAGCAAATCCAAATCTCTCTGGGAGAACGAGGGACCCCAGCTGATCTCCAAGAGCCCTCTGCCCCACCCATCTGGCCACAGAGCAAGACCCACAGCCTCATGGACACATGCTGTGCAGGCCCTCAGGCCCCACAGCTCAGGTCCCTGTACCTTGTTTACTGTTGTCATTATGCTGACATTCATTTCTGAACAAGGGGTGCATGTTTTCATTTTGTGCTGAGGGACCCCACAAATGATGCAGGTGGCCTTGACCCTGGCGAGGAATCACTTTAATTCCATAGTGCGGGCACTTTTCCGACCTGTGGCACTGGGGCGTGTTCACCTGTGTTCATCTAGCAGTCAGGCCTGGGCGGTCCTTCCTGGCCTGGCCTTTCAGCCTGTCCAGCTGTCCTTCCAGACACAAACCTGCTCCCGCAGAGTTCACCACCCCACTAATGAGGACACCGAAGTTTGTGCCAAAGGCTCCACATGCAGCAAGTAGGACGAGCCTACTGGCCCCAGGCTCTAGACCCAGAGTCAGGGCAGACAAATTCTGGCCACTGTCCTGCAGGTGACAGTGGTACTTGGGGCTAGTTCTCACAGCATCAATTCCTGTCCTGCTCAGGGTCTCCTTTGCCCCATGCTGACTGGGTGCTACCCCCATGTGGCCAGCAGAGGTGAGGTGATCCCAGTGTCCCCTGTCCCTACTGCTCACAATCTTTCTAACCAATCAGAAGAGACCAACCTCTTAGTGACAAAACTCCCAAATGGCCCCAGGAGGCTCACCGTCCAACTCTAAGTACCCTGGAGGCAGGATGCCCAGTTTCCCAAGCACCTGCATCTGCCCACACTCAGTTTATCAGGTGGACTAACCGCTGAACAATCTGCCTGCACTGACCGACTGACTGAGCACACACAGCGCCCCCAGCACCCCCAGGAGGCCAGGGGTGCCTATTTTTTCCCTCTCCCTCCTCCTTCCATCCTCTAATCATTCATGGTGACAGATTGACAGAAGTGCCCCCACCAGAAAAAACTGCCTCTGGGCACAAGTACAAAACATAAAACATTTAGGGAAAATCATCCAAGAACAGTTGGCACCACTAGTAAACTGCTTTAAACACTCAACGATAAGCAACCAGTTTAAAACTGTGGCACAGCTGAGTCCTGGCATCCGCCTGGCCAGTTTTGCTGACCTCCCCATCCTTGGCTCTCCTGGGGCTCTCCTGACCACAGCTACCCACTCCTGGCTCTCTCGCAGCTCCTAAAACTGGGCAGCAGCCCCTTGTGCCCACAGGCACATCCCAGGAAGTCCCAACTCTGGAGGATACAAGGGAGTGACGATTCCCTTTTTTGGAGTCCCTTCTCACCCACCCCTAGGACACAGCGCCAGTTCTAGCTAAGGATGAGAGCGTCTGACCACCTCTCTTGGCTAGCATGCCAGTTCCACGGAGCCCTCCACAAGCCTGGTCTCTCTGATCACGCACACTGTTTGCATAGCGTTTATGATCCAGAGCAGTTTCATATCTTTTATCCCACTGACCTCTCAACACTGGTGTGGTGGGTTTATAACTCCATCGTGGAGATGCAGAAAAGGCCCAGAAGCAAGTGCCCAGGTCACAGAGCTGCAGGTGGTGGAGCCGAGACAGGAACTCGACTCTTGTCTTCTTCATGCTTTTGCTGCCTGTAAGCTGCTCCTCGGCCCACATTCAGGTGCCTCTTAAGACTCAGAGATGGCCCCTGGGAACCCACAGGATCAAGGGGGGATCCTGGATCCCTGCAGCTCTGGGGAGAAACAGCTCTGGGGAGGGAGTGGACCTGCCACCATGACCTGGCTGACCCCATTCACCTCCGATCATGCCCTTCTCCCAGGTACCCAGGCTGGAGTCTGCTCCTAGACAGCAGGCCTGCATCTGGACTCCCCGCTCCCTGCAGTGGTTCTTGCAGCAACTTCAGAGCAGCGGCACTCTCAGTCCCACAGACACCCCAGGTCCCAGGAAGCGGCTACACCTTTCCTGTATCTGAGCAAGTAGATCCTGACCCACGGATGTCCTAGAGGCCTTCCCCACAGTCATAAGATACTTCCCACAAGTCACCTCATTTATTTCTAAACACACAAGCATGAGATTGGCACAAACACCCCCATTTAACGGATGAGAAAACCAAGGGCTTGAGCAGATTAAAGTCAGTTATTAACAGCCAAGAAATAACACGAGCATGATTTGAATGCAGGTTTTCTGACCCAGAGTTAATTTCAGTTCCCACCATCAGTGGTGTTGCCAAACCGGTGTCAGACAGTGGTCTCGGGGCCGTGATGACCCCACCGGCATGCCACACCCTCGGAGCCCTCCCTGGCCGGCTGCATTCCCGTGTATCGGGATCCTGGCCGGGCCCTGGGCCATTGCTGCATTGTTCTCACATTGTATTACTCGCTTTTTCACTTAACGTACAAATATGAAACACCTAGAACATATCAGGCACTGTGTGAAGTGCTGGGAAGACAAAAGACAAGCAGCGCACAGCTGCTTCCCAGAAGGAGCCTCCGGGTGAGGTGGGAGCAGTGAGCAGCGCAGCCGTGAGGGGCATCTGTGACAGAGCAAGCATAGGGCGCTCTGGAACCCGAGATGGGAACTCTTGGGCTGGTCTTGGCAGAAGAAAGTCTTCTTGAGAAAGGGGGAATCTACCATGTCACTTGAGCTATGGAAGTCTTGCCAGGCAAAAAGGGGGAGGCAGGGGCATACAGGCAGAGGGACAGAACAGCACGCCTGGAAATTCAAGCCTTTTTTTTTTTAAGATTTATTTATTTATGCATTCAAGAGCTGGGGTACAGGCCAGATGTGAGGGATTCACCAGAGACAGTGAGAGGATTCACCAGAGACAGAGCGGGGAACAGAACAGGTGGATCTACTGAAATACACTCCTGAGGGAGCAGCGGGCAAGACAGGAGAGGTCTGCTGCGCCATGTGGGTCACTTCCCTGGCCAGCCGAGATCGACTAAGCTCATGCTGCAGGGGCTGTGGACAGCTTCACAGTGTTGTGCTTAACTCCTTGCGCCACCAGGGAGGCCCAGGAATTCAAGCCTTTCATCTCGGATGTAGCATAGACCAGAATGGGACCGTGAGAGAGGAGAAAGGAGCCGAGCCACATTAGGTAGGAATTTAGGTGCCTGGTTGATGAGGGCAAAGGGGATGCCCTAGGGGCTTGCAGCAATAGAGTGGTGAGGACTATGTGGTCTGAAAAGAGATGATGGGTTGGAGGGGACTCGGAGAAAAATTTGAATGCTAAGATCGTAACCTGGGAACCACACAGAATGGAACAATAGGGAAGTTGCTGCAGAGATCATTTTAGCAGGATTTGGGGTTTTTAGCAGATGGAAAATAAAAGTGATCAAAGCTGACTCCGGGATTCTGACTGGGGCTGCTGGGCGGAGAGTTTTCAGAACCTAGAACACTGTGGGCACGCAGCGGGCACTCAGTAAGCATGTGTTGAATGAATGCATTCACCAAGGGAAGAAAGACAAGAGGAGCAGGTTTGTTGGGAGAAAGGTGATGAGCTAAGTTTGGGGGACATTTGGCAGAGAGTAGGGTACATGGGTCATCTGGGTAGAGGTGGGATGCCAGAGTCATCAGCTGGTAGATCACAACTGAAGCCTTGAGATTGTGAGAGAGAATTTGTGGCATAAAAGTGAAGGAGGCCAAAAACAGAATACTGGAAACTATAAAAACTTTAAGGAGGGCCTCCCCTGGTGGCGCAGCGGTTGAGCACTGGGCTGCGAAGCTGCCCGCAGCCTCTGCAGCGCCGGGTTAATCCCCGGCCACCAGCGAGGGTCCCACATGGCGTGACAGACCTCTCCTGCCGCCCGCTGCTCCCCTCAGCAGTGTATTTCATCAGTCTGCCTGTTCTGCTCCCCGCTCTGGCTCTGGTGAATTCTCTCACCCTCCTGTGCTTCTGACTGTACCCAGTGCTTGCATAGATAAATGAATAAAATCTTAAAAAAAGTTTAAGGAAAAGGAGGTTACAATGGAGACCACAAAGAAACAGAGAGGGGAAAGAGAAAACAGGGGAAATTGCAGCATGAAAACCAAGGGTAAGAGCAGTTCCAGAAGGAGTGGTCAGCTAAATCTGCTGAAGTGTAGAGATCAAGTAGGATAAGAGCTAAACTGCCATTGTATTTGGTGACACATACAGGTCACAGGTGTCAGCAGGATTGTTGGGTGAAAGCTCCATGATTCCAATGGAATGAATGAAATAAAAATAGGAAATTGACATCATTTCCAGATGCCTGGTGGCAAAGGAGAAAAGAGAGAGGGGGCGATAGTAGGTGAGGGTGGGGCTGTGAAATCAAAGAAGGGAGTGAGAAGGGAGATGTATATGTTTTCATGATATGTGAGTAGGTAAGAAATGGGAGGGGGTGATTTCAGGTTTAGCAGAGATGGTGAGGTAAAATCCCCAAACAGGAAACAGAAAACTTAGTCTCACTGTCCACTGAG